GGTAAAGTTAGTTTATTTTTGTTTCTTGAATTAATTGTGTGAACATAACTATTTTTAAGAAACAAATTAATATTTTTTCTTACAAGTAATAAATTTTCATATATGTATTGTGATGCGACCGTCATTATACCAAATTCTTTAAACCTATCTCTTAAGGAATCCTTAACTTTAAGATTAAGATTAAAGAAGAAAAAGTGATATCATGTTAAATAGGTAAACCGCTTAAAGTTATGCGGTCTACCTATAGATAAGAGTGCTCTTCACACAAAACAAGCTCCCGAAGCAAACCCTTATCGCCATTCAAAGTTCTCTAGGCCATTTTTGAATGTTTTTGAATCCGTGCGGAAAAAAATCGTAATCAAAGTCTGGTCTACTAATATTATAAATGGGAAAGTTTGTATTTGTGTTGTGTTACTCAAACACTGTTACTCAAAAAATTACTGAACGGATTCGGATGAAATTTGGTACGCATATATAATGTACCAAATTAATATAACTTTGAATTTAAATTCTGACATTTTCTTTTTACATATTAAATTTTGTCAATTTATTTTTTTTAAATTTTGAAACTGTTAATAGGTGTGAAACTGATTGAATTTACATTTACTATTTTGAATTGATTGAATTTTTAATTTATTTTGTTAAAAATGTAATTGTATGTTGTGTTGTGATGTAATCTAATTTGTTTTTATCTACTATATAAAAATAAGTCGGGTTTTCCTTCCTGACGCTATAACTCCAGAATGCACGAACCGATTTCCACGGTTTTGCATTCGTTGGAAAGGTCTCGGGCTCCGTGAGGTTTATAGCAAAGAAAATTCAGGAAAAAATTAAAAAAAAAAATCTTCTTTTAATCACCAAACGAAATATTACATAAAACGAAGCCATCTGATGGCGAAACGGAGTTCGCCTGGTTTGCTAGTGTATCATAATTATTACTATTTATTATTATTTTGTCATTGGCATGCTATGATGATTTTTATGATTGAAATAAATTAATTATTATCTATACTAATATTTATAAAGCTGCAGTTTGTTTGATGGTTTGAATTTATTTTATTTATTTAATTCTAGACCAAAATCCACAGCATTTTCTTAATATAATACAGGTTTTACAATACAGTTTATCTTAATGCCAATTACGGATTTTCATTTTTTAGTTATAGCATAATAGTTTAGAAAACCCTCTACCAAACAAGGGCGAGATGTGTGCAATGCGCGCGCGTTAATGTATATGTGTGTGCGTGTGTGTGTGTGTGTGTGTGTGTGTGTGTGTGTGTTTGTGAGTATATATGTATACATGTGTGTTTCATTTTTGTTTGTATATTACCAATCAACCAACAGATCTAAAAGTTGTTTTTTAAAAGATGCTTTACTTCTGCAAGCAAATATGTCAACAGCCGTGAAACCTTTATTGTATATACTTTGCGTTCGAAAAACAACTGAGTTTTGTGCATAGTTTGTGCGACATGTAGGAATTGCGAAAAAGAAAGATGATGTATGTCTGGTACGGGTAGTGGGTGTGTAGAGTGTTAAAAATGAAGAGGCAAGCTCAGTGCAGTCTATATTCCCATTGCAAACGTCGTAGAGAAATGCCATATCGAGCATAGTGCGCCTGTCCTCAAGAGGGACCAAACGATGGAAACGACATCCTTCCCTATAGTCCGGACAGTCATTTCTTTTTCTGTAATTAAGATGCTTAACAAATTTTGACTGTATCGATTCTAAGTCATGTTTATAAGTAATGTATTGTGGATTCCAAATATTGCAGCAATATTCAGGAATACCACGACAGTATGCAAAGTACAAAATCTTTAAACAAAGAGTATCAGTAAAAGGCTTGCCAATCCTCAAAATAAACCCTAAATTCTTATAAGCTTTGTTGACTATTGTTGCTACGTGGGTAGAAAAAGTTAATTTATCATCAAAGAGTATACCGAGATCTTTCACCAGATACGTTCGTGTAATAGATGTGCTATTCAAACAATAATCAAACGCAATAGGAACTTTTTTGCGCGTAAAGGTAATTATCAAACATTTGATCACATTGATTTTTATTTTATTTTGTTCGTAATAAGTTGATAATCTGTCTAGGTCCTCCTGAAGTTTTAGGCAGTCCAACGTAGATTTTATTGACATATAAATCTTCGTATCATCTGCATACATTAGAGACTTGGCATATCGAAAACACTGACCTATGTCGTAGAGGTAAGCGACATACAGAAGAGGACCGATTATCGATCCCTGCGGCACACCGGATGGTATAGTAACATAATCAGATCTGAGTTCACCCATAACTACCGCTTGACGTCGATTGCGCAGGTAGGACTCAAACCACCTTAGCAGGTCTCCACGTATCCCAATTTCGTGAAGCTTACGAAGAAGGATTAAATGATCGACGCGGTCGAACGCCTTCTCAAAATCTGTATAGATCGTATCGACCTGGTTTCCCCCATCAACGCTCTCGAGGACATCTTGCGAAAACACTGCGAGATTGCTATTAGTCGACCTGCCCTTTATAAACCCATGTTGCTGTTCAGGGATGATACGATTAATGAAGGGATAAACATGATGGTGGACAACCTTTTCAAACAGCTTGCTGAGAACATTAAGAATTGATATTGGCCGATAATTCTCAACCAACGTCTTAAGTCCCTTCTTGTGTATGGGTACAATGTGGGCAGTTTTCCAGATATCGGGGAAAAAACCTTCACGCAATCATCTATTGAAGATAAATGTTATGGGCGCAACTAATGATTCCGCACATCGGACAAAAAATATTGGCGGAATCATGTCACTGCCAGGACCCTTAGAGACATCTAAACCCTGAAGAAGTTTTAGTATCATATTCGGATCGACATCAAAAGTGTAAAGGTGATCATTTTGAGCTTCAGAGAGAGGTGGTACTGTATGGCTCGACGTGCTAGTTGTGCCAAAGTTTCTGTAGAAAAAGTCATTAAAGGCTGCACAGATTTGCTGCTCATTAGACAGATTATTACTATTATAAACCATTGATCTTGGGTAGCAGGAGTTATTTTTCCTGCGGGACTTAACGTATGACCAGAATGTTTTAGGCACACGTTTAATTTTTTCTTGGCAGTCCAAAATGTATGACTCATAACACCTAGCTTTGAGTGCTTTCTCTCTAGCCCTAAGCACAGAAAATGAAACATAATCAATTTGGTTCCGAAATCGTTTCCAATATTTGTGAATTTTGGATTTTTCTTTAATAACTTTAATTAAAGCGGGGCTGTACCACAAGGGATATTGATGTCTACTACCAACATTTACTTGTGCCACATGCTTATTTATTAACTTATACATGATATCATAAAAGTTTCTAATCATGTCATCCGCAGACGCTTGATGCAAAACAAAGGACCAATCGAAAGATGAAAAGTCATCGTTAAGAGCAGAGTAATTCGCTTTACGGTACTGATACTTTTTACGTGTAGGTATTTTAAGGGGTGGTATAGTTATATCTGAGGCGTTAAATAGTAAGGCCGGGTGAAATTTATCTTCCTCAACTAATGGACTACAGGATCTGTCCAGAGCTGCGGGAAAGTTAGCAAAAATTAAATCTAATGTAATGAACGCGCTAATCTCTGGAACTACTGGTCCGATTTGAATAATTCTTTCAGTGTTGGGTAGTCCATTTATCGAGGAAGGCTATAGGCTATATTTTTCTTTTCAAAATTAGGGATCCGTAATAAAATTGCAATTTTGTAACACAAGGTGTAAAATCGAAAACCTATTTTTGTGTGCGCTGCAAAAACTATTGACAATATAACAAAATGATGTACTACGGGTTTGTAGATCCCATTAAGACCTACAAAAAAGTCCGCGAGAACATATATCTAGCTATCATGGTTTAATCACAATAACTGATTTTGTGTTCAAAATAATTATTAAATCGTCGGAAGAAAAAAAAACTACGTTATATATGTATCGTGATATTAAAAACACAAACAACCCTTAATTTTCACCCCTCTACCACCCATATTTTTATGGCGATACGAAGTTCGCTGGGTCAGCTAGTTATTATTATATACATAGTTTAGACATAGTACAGTCATCCTCGTCTTCCATAAAAGAACACGAAGTGTGCAAACTGACAAAAAATATTGAAGATACATAAATTCAATTTTACACACACAATTCTTTATTGAAAACACCACAACACAGAACAGAAATGAGGGACATTACAATTGTAAAAAGAGTGCTTCAATGGGCAGTCTTATCGCTAAAAGCGATTTCTTCCAGACAACCTTTGGATGGAGAGGATTGAAAGAAAGCTGGAGTCGGCGGTGTCAGTAAAAGAAACAAAGGATTTAAACGAATTTATGAATTAAATATACATACACACATATACATATCATATATACATAGACTACACATACATAAGTTGAGTCCAGTCAGCAGAGATAAAAATGCAGCTACATCGACAAATAGTGATTTATAACAAGATTTTTAAAAACATTAATAGATTGTGCTCGTCTTATGGATACTGGAAGAGATTTTATATACATATAAAAATAAACCGGTTACAACAAAGATAGAATAGGAAATAGGTTAGATAATCTTTTTGTTGTAACCGGCCAGCGTGGTCAATATTATTATCAACTAGCAAACCAGTGAACCAAATGTTCACCAAAACCTGATTTCTCGAAAACCGGAAGTGCTACGTTACTCAAATCTGGTTTGTAGTCTTATCAGACTATTCTTAACTTATAACTTAAATATTCTCTTTATCTATCTCTTACGGTTTGGCCGCTGAAACAGCACCACAGACAGACGGACTTGTCTAATAGATAAGAGATATTACTTAACACATAACATAATTCATAATCATAGTACCTATGTATTAAGATAATTGTATCGTCATTTTCAAAGCTTCTATGCAAGGACCTAGTTAACATCCGGTAAGACTGCCTTACTTAACTTTGACGATGGCGATACGATTACTTTCTCGCTAGTTGTTTGTGTTTGGGATGCAATACCTGTTGCCGGTAAAGTACGCCGTATCGCCTTGCAGCTTGAACATCGAGTCTTTGTAGCCCCAGCCGTACCATTTCAGCAGGTCTTGTCTGCAACAAAAAGCAGAATAACATTAATCATCATCGCAGAACAGGACACTTGATACACCGACAATCCTGGCTCACAGTCATCAATGCCTGCATAGTGATACAAATGTTTGCTCATGTCCAACTTTAGAGGTAGTAGAAAGTCATATGTATATTGGTCTTATTATCGACAATAGATTCAACTGGGGATTATCATAAAAATTACGTATGTTCGAAACTAAGGTCTATTCGAAGCAAATTTGCTGTGCTTAAATATAAGCTTCCATACAGAACCCTCAGATTAATGTATATGGCCTTAGCTGACTCAGTTATTGGCTATGGCTTGAGCAGTTATGGTTTGACATATGATACATATTTGAAAGATATATACAGATTACAAATAAGAATCTTAAAAACTATTGTTCCAAAATATATTAAAAATAAATATAAAGAAAATTATGGTGAGTTGTTTAACCATTGTAAAGTGTTGAGTGTATATGATAAAGTCAAATTTTGTGTTTTAACAGAATATAACAGTGCTCATAATCTACAGACTCATCATCGTCCAGAATACTTGCGTAACCTTAATTATAAAAAATATCTCCTACCGAAAACCAACAATGTATATGGTTCGAGAACACTAAAATATGTTATTCCTAAATTTCTAAATGAAATGCCCCCCAGAATTCAAGAATTGTATATGAAAGATAATTGTAAACATAAACTTAAAAAATATTTGTTAGAGCGAATCGCTGTAGACAGATAAACCCATGTTTAAGGGTTTTTTAGATACAGCCATTGTATATCAAAAATGTAATTGATTTGATTGAATAAATGAATAATATAATAATATATATAATATATTTAAAGCATCAAAAGACGAAACATTGGAGTCCGTAATTACATTGACTAAAGGATCCGTATTTCCGGATCCGGAAAGAATTTCTTGGATCATCAGTAGACTTGCAACGAAGATTCGGTTACTATTCGGTATTCGGCCTATTCGGCTGCTTTTATTATATTCGTCCGAATACCGAATATCCACATATTATTCGGCCGAATACCGAATACTTAAATAATATATTTTGTCATATAGAAATAATTGGTAAAATGAAAAATTAAAATCGATTGATTACGTATATATTCATATTTTCATTTCTGTTATATAAACATTTTAGTAGTCATTGGGTACATTACACGGGTACATAATCATCTTCTGAATTGGAAAAATGGAGGATTCTATGTATTTAAATTATTGTGGTAATCAAAATTTGAAGGGTAAGGTTCTCATTTCTTTTATAATCATTTATTAAGTAGTCATTACATAATTTAATCATTTTCTGTATTAAACAAGGTAACAGTTTTTAATTCATTCAGTCATATGATGAATGGTTACATAATAGCAATAATTTAAAGTGTACGCGCCGTTTTTGGCCATATCTCAAAAGTTGGTTTTGTCATTTAGTCGCATTTTAGCTTGAGGACGGCAGATTAGAACAAAACAAAGGAGCGCGAAACAATCACGTCTGTACAAGTTTTTGGCGCTAAAATCCAACCGAATACTTTTGCCTGATATTCGGCTATTTAGTCCAGTCAAATTACGGAAAAAAAGGGCTAAAAAAACATGAGCGAGCACAGTTTGGGGATTTTGAGGATCGATAGGGGGGTGCATCCTGAGCTTAAGTTCCAATTTGAGGGGCTGTACTGAGGTCAGCTCAAGGTCATTTCGATGCAAACGCGTTTAATTCGATATCTCGAGAAATATCAGTGTTAGCCAAAAAATTATAGAGACCTTTTTTCTTCTAAATGAAATTTATTAACTTTTTTATAAAAAACTTTTTTTTGTAACATCAATATTTTTTAAGTTATTACTCCCGCAAGGCAAAAATTTCATTTTTTTCCCTATTTTTCGTCGTTTTCTCCCCAAACATTCAATTTTATTGAATTTTACCGATCATCAACGTGTATATATTTTAATTATGCACAATTTTGTTCTTAAACTTTTTTCTGTAACTTCAATACCTTCGGAGTTATATATTATTTTACCGAGCGAAATCCACGCCACTAATACCAGTGTACCAATCTCAACGAGCTCCGATATAAGGGATATAAAAAAATGGCAGGCAGTGGGAGGGTTAAATTAAAATCTCTTCCTCCTAACTCTGATGCAGCATTTTTCCATTCGCTGAGGTGTTTCTACCAGATACAATACTGGCTGGAAAATTATCTGGAGCCCGAGGAGTGGGGCTGGCGTCGAACCCCCCGTGGTTTGGAGCCAATAATGATGTCATTGCAACCAGCTCCGGATAATTTACTGAGATCGATTGCATGCAAATGCAAAACCAACTGCGGCAAAGATGCAGAAAGGCCGGCCTCTTTTGCTCAGTGATTTGCAATAATTGCCAAGAAAATTATTGTTCCAATATCGCCAATATTATCGACGATGATGATCTTGACGTTATGGACGAGGACGACGTATGCCCCGATACCGTCAGGGCCTTCGATATTCACGAATCACTTCCATCGACCTCGGGTGCTTAATTTTCCGAATTTTATAACCTATTTTTTGTATCAATAAATGTGTGAAACAGTTTTAATTGTTAATTTACTTGTTACCCAAACAAACCCATAAATTAACCCAAATTAAATACCCAATTTTTAAATAGTTTAATCGATTTACCCTTTTATATTGCGACAGTGGCGTGGATTTCGCTCGGTAAAATAATATATAACTCCGAAGGTATTGAAGTTACAGAAAAAAGTTTAAGAACAAAATTGTGCATAATTAAAAGATATACACGTTGATGATCGGTAAAATTCAATAAAATTGAATGTTTGGGGAGAAAACGACGAAAAATAGGGAAAAAAATGAAATTTTTGCCTTGCGGGAGTAATAACTTAAAAAATATTGATGTTACAAAAAAAAGTTTTATATAAAAAAGTTAATAAATTTCATTTAGAAGAAAAAAGGTCTCTATAATTTTTTAACTAACACTGATATTTCTCGAGATATCGAATTAAACGCGTTTGCATCGAAATGACCTTGAGCTGACCTCAGTACAGCCCCTCAAATTGGAACTTAAGCTCAGGATGCAACCCCCTAACGATCCTCAAAATCCCCAAACTGTGTTCGCTCATGTTTATTTGATTCCGTAATTTGACTGGACTAATTCGGTCAGGGGCCTCGCCGAATATGTGGTATTTGGTATACTGCCGAATATACTATTCGTTGCAAGTCTCAGCTATCAAGAGTACCTATGCCCTTCACGAAGCCAGTTTGTTCAGAAGCAACCTCTTTGGATAGGAAGGCTTTGAGACGCTCGTTTAACACATGTAAAAGTATGTTATTATTTATTTTTAAGCATTTAACTGCTAGATGTTTAAATCTAAAGAAAAGTTTACTAGAAAAAAATTAACTTAACTTTAAAATTAAACATCTAGCAGTTAAATGCTTGAAAATAAATAAACACATAACTATAATTGCTATTCCTTCTTTCAAATGTTTAATACTTGAAAAAGTATTCATTTGACATTGTGGGTTACCTACAATGCGAAGAGATGGCGCTGCCTTGCAGCTTAAGGCTAGGAAAATTTCGACGCGGCGAATAGGGCCGTGGTAGCATAATGGTCAGTGCATTCGCCCGGATTGCGAATGGTGCGGGTTCGAGTCCCGTCCGCTGCCTGGTCCGCGTGGATTTTTGAAGTTATACTTCTTTAGGCGCGTTATGAAAAAATTATGAGAGTGAAATTTTAAGATGCGCGCGCATCACTGTAACACAAAATTTTAACTAAACGCTAAAGCGACCAACTTCATGCTGATACTTTTGTGTTTACCGCACATTAAGAAAATCTACCAACAAAATAGGAATAGAATCTCTATTTAGTGGGTGCTAACGACTGCATTGTGAAGGCTTATCAAAAGTATTTATTAATCTGGAACAACGGAACCAAAGCGCGATTCAGGAGACTACAGCGCCATCTCTTGACCATTGGTGTAGTAGAACCAAAAACCACATCTTTATTTTTTGTAATAAAGTAACAGTTAGAGGTATTCATATTTATAATATTTATCCACATGTTTCTAGTTTGTATATTCGGAATACGTGTTTGAGTTTCATACAAGTGCAAATCACATATTATTATGTTCTAATAAATTATATTCAGTAGCGATTTTAATTGAATATTTTGATTATTTATTTATTTTTTCAAATTAAAACTGAACTTTATTGACTGTGTCCTTTTCCAGACTTTTTTAATTTATTTTAATTAATTATTTGCATGCAATTAAAAACTAATTTTAAACGATGCCAAAGAAGGATAACTTCTCACGCGCCTACATAAGTACACGCACCCATTTTTTCTAGTAAACTTTTCTTTACATGTAAAAGTATTTTACTTGCATGGGATATCAGAGCAATGAGTCGATAATTGCTGCAAGTTTTCGTAGAGCCTTTCTTGTGTAATGGAATATAAATAAATATATAAATATTTCCGACACACACCAATTAGCCTAGCCCCAAAGTAAGCACTATAGGGCTTGTGTTATGGGATGCTAGGGTAACGGATAGAATACATATACTGTACATATATAAGTATATTTATATAAATACATATTAAACATCCATGACTGGAGTACAAATGCTCGTATTCATCACACAAACATCTGCCCCCACCGGGATTCGAACCCGGGACCTCTCGAGTCGGCGACAGTTATGAAACCCGGCGTACAAACCACTCGGCCACGGAGGTCGTCAAAAGATGAAGACTGTATGAGCCCACTCTTTCGACCATGTCCCTGTCAGCCAGATCTTATTGCATATTCTTTGGAATATCTGGACGCCATATTCCCCTGAAGATTTAATCGTCTCTATGGGGATTCCTTCTCTACCAGTAGCTTTCCCATTCTTCAGGCGTTTGATTGCGGCTCTTATCTCGTCTTTAAGAATGTCTAGTTCTAGCTCTTCTTCCATAGGCTCTGTAGCATCAAAACAACGTGATTGTGGTAACACTTCTACTTACACAAT